TCCCCACTTCAGCCTTGCTATCCCTTCTCCTCCCCTCCACTTCCTCCATCTTTCAGCTTCTGTGCTAATCTGTAGGGTTTCTGGTAAAATGCAGATCTCTTAAGGTCACTGAAAATGACGTTAGGTATGTCCTGTGATCAAGTTCCAAGCTGAGATTTTTTTGAACTGGTCTATAGGAAAGCTCCCAGTGCCTGAATGAATATGGGCTCATTTCTCCATTACATCCTCCTTTTCTTGCTGATAGCTTTCTCGCCACTACAGTGCCCCAGCAACCATTTCTGACCTCTGCTGACTTTGTTCAGACCTGATGATACAGCACATATTGGTTCATCAGCTCTTCAGGGCAGGTTTTTCCATCAGTATAAAGTTTTGAGGAGGACTCTTCCTAAAGGCCATCTGATCTAATTTTATAAAAATCATTAACATGCTGCTGAAATTAGTACATCGTTAATTATACTGACTAGAAGGCAAAAGTGATAGAAGGCAAGAGATTGGATTTTTTTTTTATGGACAAAAGAGGTGGTTCATTGAATTCAGTGCTGTTTTTGTTCCTTGTGCTTGGATATGTAAAGATTAGACATTGTTAAATAAGGAATGCAGAGGTTTCTTCAGGATTGGTAGAATTAATAGAACTGTGAACTTAACATTTTATGTAATAGGGCAGGGTTCCTCAACCCTGGCAACTTGAAGATGTGTGGACTACAACTCCCAGAATTCCCCACCCAGCATGGGTGGGGAATTCTGGGAGTTGAAGTCCACACATCTTCAAGTCGCCAAGGTTGAGGAACCCTGTAATAGGGAATGGGTGAGAGCCTCCCCCCTCCCCCAATTTTCTTCTTGCCTGATTTATGCTTTTCTGTGGAAGAAACAATTTGTAATACTTTTTTTTTTGCTAGGTTGCACAGGAACCCATTTATGATTTAGTTAACTGCTTCACGTCAGACTTAACTTCTAGTGATTATATGGACAAATCCCTGTAAATTTTCCCCAGTTTTGTTTCTGCAAGTCACCAAATTCTGGGAGAAATATCTGCTGATCACAGTGCTGCAGCAGGAGTCGGGTGGGTCTGGCAGCAAGACTATCCATTTTCCCATTATCCCATAGTGTCATAATCAGATGTGAACTGCTCCCATTACTTTCCTGGCTTTATATAGGCTAGGAAATAAATAATGACTTCCAAATTTCTCCATGTTCTGTTGGGAGATAATGGAGGAGATTAGACTGTCATTCCTCTGTTCCATGATAGCGCTAAACTATTGGGCTAAAGAATAAGAGCCATAGAATTAAAGCACATACACTTCTGGTGGCTGAGTGATTCTGCTATTACTGTGAGGTTCTGGCTCCCTGTAGGTTCTGCTAGGTCACCAACACAGCATTGCTAAGCTGTTTAGGGAATGAACAGGAGAATGGTAGCCTATAGGCTGACCAGGAACTGGAAGGGAAAGGATGTGCCCACATCAGCCCAGAACAACTACCATGGCATCTAGTAAAAACCAGTCAGGCAAAAATGATGACACAGCTTACATCATAACACAAACCCCGGCCTTTCAGCCTCATATTGGACCCAAATACATAAGAAGTACATAAGTTAAATAGTTTGCATTGTGAGATCACAATGCACTTTTCATCATTTGCTCCACTCTCACCCCCAGCTATAAGTGGTCCCTCACACACAACTGGTCACTTGACATTGTCTCTGATGTAATGGGTAGCAAAGCATGACAGATCTTCATATGCTTTGTGTTAGTCATCTTATTTTAACACCAGCTAAGAATGATTTAAGCCTGCCTCACTCAAGGGCTAGAAACAAAATGAAGGCAACATGATGGGACACAATAGAAAACAAGATGTTGCCAGACAAGTCTGTGCTATGATTAAGTGAAAGTGGGGAAAGGCCCTTTCTTTCATCCAGGACTGGCCGACCAATTCACTTGCAGTCCATGGTACTATTATCAACCATCTTCAAACCCAGCTTTCAAATATAATTGAAACTTAATAAATTGAAATTAATTCAATTTGTTTATATTTTTATTTATTTTTATATGGTCAGAATCTATTCTGACTCCACATATTACTAGTGGAAAGATATTACTTTATTCTGATATTTGTTATCAGTGAAATCGCCTTATCTTTCAGGAATTTGTCTATGATATTCATTCTCCCAGGGATTAGTCTTCTCTCCATCTTTATTTTTTCTTGAGCCCAAGAAAACAAAACTTTTCACCATCAATTATATATGTAACCTAGCAGTACATAATTTACTTTATTATGTAAATTATATATATCAGAAGCAAAAAACCCAAAACATTAAATATAGATCTTCAGGGAAGAAGAAATGCCTTATGGTTTTGTCAATGTGCTATGTTATAGTGAAGCTTAATGTGGACAAGAATTCAAATCTTGAGCCAGTCCTGGAATTCTTGAGCACTATTTAAAACAGTGTTTCTCAAACTTGGCCACTTTAAGATGAGTGGACTTCAACTCCCAGAATTCCCCAGCCAGCATGGGTGGGGAATTCTGGGAGTTGAAGTCCACACATCTTCAAGTTGACAAGCTTGAGAAACACTGATTTAGTATATACAAAATACCATTCTGTTCCATTACACGGTCTTCCCCAACAGGATATCCTTAAGATGTACTGGGACTACAACTTCCAGAATTCCCAGCCAGTATCAGGAAGGTCACATCACAGCAGCAATATTTTTAGGTCATTATGAAATGGTTAAATTATATCCAAATTAATAATGAAAAAGCTATGTGCAGTGACTATTTCGATAATGAAAAAACATAGAAGATCTATGCACCTCTAGAATAAAGGGAAATTTTTGGATTAATGCATCCAAATCAAGAGTTGAGGATTCTAACACCTCTGATTATAAATTAACCACCATCTAGCAGGACTTATTTTATTTTTATCCCTTTGGGTTTATTTCAGTATGTGAAATAGACCAGCTACTGATTGTTAGTTAACTACATAAGTCTCTTCTTACAATCCACACATGTTGCACTCTATATTCATATAATTTAGTTGAATGGAATGTTTCTTAATGTGCCATTGAAACAAATATATTTTGCAGGAAATTTGTTGTTATCAGCATTCTGCTGTGCAGACTGATTCTATTTATTTTTACACTGTTGACTAAAGACTACACTTGGGTCACTTTCTCATTAGTGATTTCCACAGTCTTTATGTCATCCAAACATCACTGTACTGATATAACGATAATGAGGACAGGTTTTGTACTGTCTCAGTGATTCTTAGATGATGCTGTAAAAATGCTTTAGCTTCTTAATGAGGAAGAGCAGAAGGTATAGCATAAGGCAAAAACAAGTGGTAGAACAGAATGTATCACTTTAAATTGCAAGTAGAGATGATGTTATTCATGAAGGTTTCCTTACATAAAATTCTGGAGCTCTTCAAACAGAACTCTAGTACAGTATGTTGGGTTGGGATCTTTCAGCTTCCCCCCTCCTCCAGTTTTTTTTTTTTTAAATTTACAAAGGATTTGGAGGTAAAAGTTAGAAATCTCCGTTCCAAAGGGATTCCCACCAACTGATTGAAGTGGTATAATTAAATTTTCTCCTCAACTTTCTGCCATTTTCCTTTGTTGGATGTGTTGATCAGGCATCTGTCAAAGGAGCTTACTGCTATGAAATTCCCAATAAAAGGAACTTCTAGACCATATAGACATATTGAAAGCAAACAGGCACAGTATCTATCTGAGAATTCTAAAAAAACCTCAAATGTGGAGGCGATAATGTTTTCCTAAGACCAATTTCTATAATACTGGAAAATAGCCAATGCAATTCCAGTTTATAAAAAAGGGCCCCAAAAGGATGTTACTGGCCTACAGTCTATTCTAGATCATTATCAAGAAAAAGTCAAGGACAGATCTTAAGGATCAATATGGCTTCTGCAAAGAAAGTCTGCAAACTTAATAAAGTTCTTATTTCCTCAAGACTGTCAAAAGCATGTAGACTGAGGATTTTGCAGTTATTGTTAACTTAGAATTTCAAAGAAGCATATGATTAAAATCCCTCAAAAAACATACAGTTAAAATATAGGATAGAAGTGGAGGTCCTCTAGTGGTCAATATCTAGCTAAAGAACATACATAAGTGAAAGGGTATAAAAAGTGTTATTCCCTTGGATCTGTCTTAGAACTAGAAATTGTTAATTATTTCATAAATGCTCTACAGTTTATGACAAGAAGTGAAGTGTCCAGATTATTTTTATATTCTTAAATTCCAATTACTGTATTGTGAACTTATTGATGGTATAAAAAAAAGTATAAGAAAAAGAAGAATCCAAATAATAGAAATAGGAAGAGTGTTAGTATAGAAATGGAAAAAATACAGGGACAAAGAGGTGCCAAAATAAAATTAATACAATTAAGAAAATTATCAACTTGTTCCTTAGCAGATTCAGTATGTCACACCATGTTATTTTAATTTCTGAACAGGATCTATTAAGCTTAGCAATTTTTTAAAATTCTGTGAGGGTAAATAGATTTTTTTCCCATCTCCTGCACTTTCATTGAATATAAATAACGAAAAGCTGGTCTGTGCAATGTTAGATTCATTCCCAAAATTTATACCTCAGAAGAGAGATTCATTAAAACATTAATTGCAAACTACTTGGCTCTGCAGGCTAGATATTTTGTGTTTTTCTACAGTGTTGGTAGGGGAAGGGGAGTAGAGTTGAGAAGGGGCAAACATCTAAGATTGGTCTAGAAAATTATATTTTCCCCAAATTGTTTTACTAAGAAGAGAACTCTTTGCCTGTAATTATCTGTACCTGCTCAAACATGTATCCTTTCTGAATTAGAATTAACTGAGAATTAATGTAACAACCTGTGTGAAAATCAGTGAGAATGGTATCTATAGAAATAGTTACTCATTCCATGTATATATCCAATAATTGAAGGCTATTTAATTATCAGGTCATTGTAAAGACTTGAAATAATAGTTAGTGCTAACCTACTGATTTTGCAGCTTGAATTTCAATGGAGTTCATCTGGCATCTGCTGGACAGTTCAGTGATTTCTTGGGGAGCATGGGACCAGCACAGTTTGTGGGTCGCCAGACCTTGGCCACTACCTCCATGGGTAAGAAACAAAAAAGTTCTTTTTCCCTGCATGTAAGTATTCATTTAGCCTTATCTGTCTTGATTGTGCTTTAGAAAGAATAAGTTTGATGGATCCATATCACAAGAAGTCAGGGAAAACAATGGGGGGAGAGAGATGAACAAAAACAGGAATGACTAAGTCCTAATTACAATGACATATACTTTGTCTTAGCAATTAAATGGATATAGAGACTAAAGGGTTTTCCAATGTTCACAAGGAAGCCACCAGTGTAACTGAGACTGGGAGATGAAGCTGAAGGAGAAGCAAATGAAAAGGTTTAAACTATATTCTCTTCAACTCAACGTCAAAGCCTCTGCTGCCATAATCTTCTGTTCTATAAATGCTATATCGTTGTTTTATGAAAGTGGCCCCATTTTCTTCCTAGCTTGCCAACACTCCCTTAGATATAGGATAGCTAAAGGATCAAGACCATCCTTTCCTCTGTCATCACAGTCCCCACTGTTTAAAACCCAGGGCCCAGCCCTTGATCCCAAAAGAATCATTCAAAGCTATGGTAGACAGCATGATGACCATAGAGACAAATGTGTTTCTTGTTGATTGCTGGACTTGGTTCCCCTTCTTACCTTTTTTAAAAGAGGGAGGGAGGGAAGGAAGGAAGGAAGGAAGGATGGACAGACGGATGGACCAATCTTATTATTAGCATTCAAGGAAGCAAATGAAAAATTGCTGCATAAATAATTGATACATTTTTGTTAGTGCCTTCTAGACAACTTATAAATCATGAATAGAGGGAGTAATCTTTCAGTGACCATGGTGGCCAATAGTCCTAGGGAAAAGCTGATGAGAAAAAAAGAGAGAGAGAGAAAAAAAGGCTTTGTGTAACTGAAGATGATTTTCTAACAGTTTGATATAGCTTTATTGAGTATAAACAAGGTAGTAGCAGGGGTACCTGCTAGGAGTTGCATGTGTCAGAATCTGTAAATAGTGGGCATTACATCGCAATCAAAGCCCTGACCATATTGGGCATGGATGCAAGGGGGCATAGCTTCTGACACAATGCCATGGCCACCATCTTGTAGATTTTGCCACTCCACCCCATACCATGGATGTCCCTAGGTGGTACCAACTTACACGGTAATCTATGATCAGATATTTATTAGTTTAAAAAGAGGTACTGAATAATGTACTACTCTGTAGTACATGGTCTAGTACCATATTTTACATATTAGGAAATTCTGTTGAATAACAACATTATCTAATTGTGCTATGAACTGAGGGAGGGAGGGAGGGAGGGAGGGA